GGCGTTTGTTCGGGCGCTGCAGGATGAGGTTCACTCTCGCCTGGACATCCCACATGGCCAAACAGTGGTAGATACTGCATCCTTTTACGATTCTATAGAATGGGAGCCTTTGGCGCTGCGCGCCATGCGCAAAGGATTTCCTGCAGTCAATTTGTACCTAGAGCTCCAGATGTGCCTTGCCCCTGGGATGCTGGAGCAGATCGACTCTTTCAGTGAACCTTTCCAAGTGACGCGATCGGTGGTGCAGGGGCTGAGGAACGGTACTCGGTTTGCCAAGTGCGTCACAGCCTACGTGTGCCAGCGCCTATGTCATGCGCATGTTTCTCTGGGTGAGCGCATCTGGATCGACGACTTATCACAGCGAGTGATGGGACCGAGGCAGCATGTGAGGACGACGCTTATCAAGGGCGTGCTGTCGACGATCAGGCTTTTCCCCAAGTTGCAGTTAACCATCGCAGACAAAAGTGTGGAGTTATGTTCTCACCACAATGATGCCCAGGTGGTCGAGCGTGTCCTCAGGAAGAAGGGCGTCACACTCCGTGCCGTGCTGCAGACGGCCTACCTCGGGGTGGACTTGTCTTGCGGCCAGCGGCAGGGGCGTGCTACGGTCCGGCAGAGGGCGCTCAAGTCCAGCAAGGCGCACGGGCGGCTGCGGAGGTTCGCCCAGGCTGCCAGGCGCTGGGCGGTGTCTGCCAAGCTCCAGCGCGCGGGGCCGCAGGCGGCATCCGTATACGGCCACCACGTGTACGGGCAGTTCGGCTCGGTGCCGCAGACCCAGCGCCGCAGGCTCGGCGCTGCCGCGGGATCGGCCAAGAGGGGTCGGTGCCTCACGACGCTGCTGGCGCTTCGTCTTCCAGGGAGCGACCCTGGAGTGCAGCTACCGCGGCAATGTCTATCCCACTGGCTGGGTGTGTGGTTGACTGACCCTCAAATTCGACCAGCAATTGTTCGGGCTTGGCCTCGAGCCGCAGCTCATCCTTCTAGTCTCCCAGGTCGGCTGCGAGTACGTCACAGACGAGGGCCCACGACTACAGTCATCATGTACTTGCTGGAAGCAGGGTGGAAGCCGACCTCCCCGACAGAATTGGAAGTGCCGTATGACGGTTCTTCGATGTCGCACCCATGGCAGTTTCATGGGAGTGGCTTTGAGGCGCTGGACCAAGCAGGAACCCTTCTAGATGAGTTTCAGCGAACACGAGAGCTTCAGCAGTGGCGAGCTGCAGCTACGCAGTTCTGCGGCGAGGGCGTCGCCGACGGCGTCGACTTGGCCTCGCTGCAGGCTATGATCCGTGACCTGCAGGGCGTCAAGAAGGGCAGGCAGCTGTCGGGACTGCTCGCATCCATTGCGACGGGCGGGTTCTGGACACGCGAACGGAGTTCCCAGGCCAACTTGCGCAGTTCATCGGATTTCCTTCGTTGCGGGAAAGGGCCTGAGACTCCTCTTCACAGGTGCTGGGCATGTGAGGCTAACGCCATGTCCGTGTCTAAAGCGCATGCTGGCTCTAACGACCTTCTCACCCAGGCCGCTTCAGAGTCCGAAGATTTTCCTTGTTTTTGGATGCGAGGACTCATCCCCTCGTCTTGGACCTCTGTCCCTCCTCCTCCCTCTGAAGGGGCCACTCTCGGGGGCAACTTGCTCGGGGGCTCTTTGGAGGAGGGCTGTCTAGGTGTAGGCTCGTCACTGGAGCCTCTAGTCCTTTTGGGGGGCGCCTCGGGGGGAAAGGATACCCACGACTCTAGGCTGCGCAGGGTAGGGTTAGTTGCTGCGAATGTCGCCAGGTACGATCCTCCTGCTTCGGGGCCTTTTTTTTATCATGGGGCCACTCCCTGGGGCCTCCCAGAGTGTACCGAGAGGCGAGCTCCTCGCCTTTCTTTGGACCCTCCGATACTCTGTCGGAATGCTAGTGTATGTAACTGATTGTGCTGAGGTTGCGAGGGGGTGGTACTCTGAGTTTTTCCGCAGATCCGAGGGGCCGCAGGCCGATCTCTGGAGAGAGGTAGGCAAGCTCCTGCAGCGGCAAGCTCGGCATCCTACCAGTATTATAATCATGCAAGTCCCCTCGCATTTCAGTCCGCGGGAGTACCTCTCGCGTGGAATTCCGAGTTGGCTTGTGATAGGCAATGCTTGCGTTGACGTCCTTGCTGGAGAATCAGCCGCGCACGCGCGGGTTCCCCAGGCCAGTCGTTTTCGAGTTATGTCTATCGAGCACAAGGCCACGCTTGTTCGGAGAAGGCTTCTGCAGGTCGGCCTCGATTCGATTCGGGCCTCTCAGTTGTCAGGGGAAGTTGGCGGCACAGCGCATGCTGGCCCTCCCCCTCCTCCTCCTCCTCCTCCTCCTCCTCCTCCTCCTCCTCCTCCTCCTCCGCATCCTCCTCCTCCTCCTCCTCCTCCTCCTCCTCCTCCTCCTCCTCCTCCTCCTCCTCCTCCTCCTCCTATTGCTATCGCACGCTTCGCGTCTGCCCACTCCCTGACCGAAAGTGGTAGGGCGTGCAATGTGTGTAGAGGCTCTGCGGCAAATGCTGCAGTGTCGGGATGGTTAAAAAGTGAGTGCTTCCAACTCCTCCATGTGAATAGCCAGATTGCCCGAGTTCCGAGAGGACGGCGTTTACACGTGGCTGGGGGTTGGACCCATCCCACTCATGCCTTGATGTATCATAAAGACCTTCAATTGTGGTATTGCGGCACATGCGATTTCTACGGTCAAGCCCAGCTCAGGGGGGCTAGCGGAACCGTGCAAATTGCCCATCTCGAAGGCCAGGCGCGAATATCTCCAAAGGGCTGCGCATCAAGCCTTGTTTTCACTACGTGAAGGCGGAAATCCTGGAAATCATCCTGCTTCCTCGTCTTTCTTCTCCTCCTCTTCCTTCTCCTCCTCTTCCTCCTCCTCCTCATCCTCCTCCTCTTCCTGCTCCTCCTCATCCTCCTCCTCCTCCTCCTCCTCCTCCCTCCACCTCCCCCTCCCCCACACCCTCCCTCCTTCTCCCTCCTCCTGCACCTCCCCCCTCCCCCCCCCATCCAGAGAGGTGCGCTTTGCGCGCGCCCCCGCTCGGCCACCCACAAACACACACACACACACACACACAACCGCCTCAAGACGGCGGCTCGGCCAGCCCCCACTGGGGCGAGGGGCCCCGAAGGCGAGGACGACGAGGGGCGAGTCGCCCGCGCGGCAGTGGGACGGACTGCCGTTCGGCGGATGCGCCTCGCAGGCTGCACACTGCGCGGCGCCTGCTACCGCTCTCCGCAAGGTCTGGTCCGCCGCGGGTGGCACTCCGCGGGCTCTCGTCACACGTCGCCGCGGCACGCGTCTGGCCGTCGGAGTCGCCGACTAGACATGAACGAACGTTTGAAGTCTTATCGCACTGGGAGTCGGGGCTCAAATTCTAGGCCAGGCCAAGCAAGCCAAGAGCCAGGGCGCCTCCCGTATTGACTGTCCCTTTCCCAGCCCTCCGCAGAGGGGGGCTCCCACGGCATGCAAGAGGCTCCCGATGAGGCCCAAGATCGGCCCAATCAAAAAATGGTGTGGTTAATCTGGCCGTTCTGTGTCTTCCAGCTGCTTAAGGAAGGAAGGACTTTGGGCCTTATTGGGGGGGGGGCGCTCTTAAGGCCATCTTGGGGTTCGGTGGAGGCTCAAAACGGAAATGAAGCCACTAGATGACGAGGCAAATAGTCCATCCTGGTTTCCCCTTCTCCGCCGCCGCCGCCTCCTCCATCCCCTTCTCGTATCAATAATGAAATCCTCCCTGTCGCACCCCGAGACATGTCGGTGGGCTGGGCGGAGCGTGTCGCCTGAGACCCCCTCGCCATCTTTGAAACTCAAGCCTAAAAGTTGCAACCGATTCATGGATGGAGGGCAGGTGGCTTTCAAACTTTGGCTCCCGCGCTAGCACAGAGAGCAGCCGTTTTAAACTGTGCAAGAGGTTCACGAATGCAGGACGGCTCCTTTTCAAAATGTGGTTTTCGCATTCGCGCCGCGCACACTCGTCTTCAGAATTCACACAAGTGTCAAGGGTTCTTATGGCTAACATCCCAGAAGTGGTATTTGGCACGATGTAGAATTGTCAGGGCGCAACAGTCACGTTGATTCGCGGTGTTGAACGTCCAGAAATGGTTTTCTAGCACGATTCAGGACTCCCCTCCGTGGGCCCCAGGTTATAAGGGGGTCAGAGCCTCCATCCAAGCCGTCGTCCCAACTTCTGGGGGAGAGGGGGGGGTCGGCCTCACGTTTTGCACCGTGTGTGGCAAGACCACGACTTCGGACCCTCGGTGGTCAGTCAGCAATCCCCGCCCCAAAGCGGGCCCAGAATCTCATGCGCATCTCCGAGGGACGCCACCCCCACCCTGGGGGTCCGCCCAAGCACGTTCGCGACGCAGAGCTCGCCCACCTCGCGCTGCCGCTGCAAGAGCAGCAGGACCGCCGCGGGGAGGGTTGGGCGTCGTCCAGCAGTCACAGTCAATTCGTTTCATGTCCTCCCCTTTTGAGACTTCTGCTGTCTTTCATGCTCGCACTCCTCGCATTCCTCCTCCTCCTCCTCCTGCTCATCCTCCTCCTCCCCTCCTCCTCCTGCTCCTCCTGCTCCTCCTTCGTCTCCTCCTCCTCCTCCTCCTCCCTGCACCACCCGCCCCATGTCCCGAGCCTGTGGCAGGGTCATCAGCTCGTCGTTGTCGTTGTCGTCGTGGTCGTCGTCGTCCTTCTGCAAGTAAGGCCTTTACAAATTTGCCGGGACCTATGAACAAGGAACTTGGAGGGAGAGATTATCGCTACACAATTGATGCGTCTTGGATGTTTACTGCTGGTCCTCCTCCTCCTCCTCCTCCTCCATCTCCTCCTCCTCCTCCTCCTCCTTCTTGTCCACATTCTCCGTTGCATCGTCCGCCTCTTCCTATGACTGCCCAGTCATACCCTTCCTGAGCGTTCCTCCTCAACGACGTCGAGAGAGAGAGAGAGTGAACAAAAAAATCGACCATCCCTGAATGCGTCGTCCACCCCCAGCGCTCGCCTCACGCGCCAGAAGCCAGTAGAGCAGGGCAATCGACTCCTGAGGGTAGCAACGGGAGGATACAGTACTGTATCTTCGAATTCCCTACACATGGAAAATGTATCCAGTCAAGCTTGTGCGCGGACTGGGGAGGCGATTCAGGAGCGCTCGGGTGGGGGCCCAAGACGGCTCATGGGCGACCCAAGATGGATGAAAGACAGACCAACAGGCTCCCTCGAAGGCCCAGGGGGACTCGAAGAGGGACCCCAAGAGGTCCCCGAGAGACAAACTCATGGATTGTCCGATGGTTTCCGCGCCATGTTTGCACACTCGCCTTCTCGGTCTACAGAACCTCCCAGACGACACCGAGGCCCTCAAGCTCGCCTCAAGATGTCCCAAAGGGCGACCAATCTCAAGGGGGGCACAAGAAAGACCCAAGACTACTCAAGAGCAGGCCATTGTAGCCCAGGAGAGCCCTAAGACGACTCAAGAGGGCCCCAGATGGAGCCCCACACAGCTGACGAGAGCCCCAAAACAGCCCACTCCAGACCGCTCAAAAACCCCGAAGACGGTTCAGAGGGGCCAGAGATGGCCTACGTAAGAGAGCCCAAAGAACACCTAACTGGCATCACAGACGGTCTCAACGGCCTCAAGAGATCCCCAAAACGGGTGACAACACTAGATTAGTACGGAGACTGTGAGACGATATACGAAAACGCACACGCATATATGTATAAATGCATGTATACAGTCATACAAATATGTAAATGTACATACATACATACATACATACATACATACATACATACATACATACATACATACATACATACATACATACATACATACATTACATACATTACATACATTACATACATTACATACATTACATACATACATACATACATACATACATACATACATGCATGCATACATACATACATACATACATTACATACATACATACATTACATACATACATACATACATACATTACATACATACCTACATACATACATACATACATACGTACATACATGCATACGTACATACATACATACATGCATGCATACATACATAGATACATACATTACATACATACATGTACACATACATACATACGTACATACATACATACATACACATACATACATACATACACAGTTATATCTATATACATATATACATGCATACACAGTGTCACACATTCATTCATACATACATACCTATACATATATATATATATGTGTGAATGCGTGCATGCATGTTTGTGTGTATGGATGGGTGTGTGTGTATGTATGCATGTATGTCTGTATGTATGTGTGTATGGTTGGTTGGTTGGTTGTATGTATGTATGTATGCATGTATGTGTGCATGTACGTATGTATGTATGGATGGATGGATGCTTGTGTGTGTGCATGTATGTATGGATGTCTGTATGTATGTATGTGTGCATGTATGTGTGTATGTTGGTATGTCTGTATGTATGCACGTCGGTATATATATGTATATATTTGCGAGTGCATGCGTGTGTACGTGTGTATGCGTGTACGTGTGTGTATGTATGTATGCATGTAGGTATGCATGTGTATGTGTGTATGAATATATGTATGTACGGTTGTATGTATGTATGGATGGATGGATGTATGTAGGTAGGTGGGTAGGTATGTATGCATGCATGTATGTGTGCATGTATGTGTGTATGTGTATGTGTGTATGTGTATGTGTATGTGCATGTGTATGGGTATGTGTATGTGTGTGTGTATGTTTGTATGTATGTATGTATGTATGTATGTATGTGTATGTATGTGTATGCATGTATGCATGCATGCATGTATGCGTTCATGCATGCAATGTGTATATATACAGGCACACGTATGTATATACATATATGTATACCTTTATTCATTCATATATATATATATATCAGAGTTCGGGGGCCGAACGGTCACTCATTGCCCCTGGGCGAATGGCTGAATAAATAATTCGTGGTGGGGATTATGCTTGTTGCGCTATTGTTGTTGTTGTTGCTGTTGTTGTTGGTGTTGTTGTTGTTTTGTTGTCGTCGTTCACCCGCGACCCACCCCGCGACCGACCCCACGACCCACCCCGCGACCCACCCCGCGACCCACCCCGCGACCCACCCCGCGACCCACCCCACGACCCACCCGCGACCCACCCGCGACCCAACCGGCGACCCACCCCACGACCCACCCCACGACCCACCCGCGACCCACCCCGCGACCCACCCGCGACCCACCCCGCGACCCATCCGCGACCCGTCCGCGACCCACCCGCGACCCACCCCGCGACCCACCCTCAAGGGAGGAAAAACCACCCAGACCAGACAATTGACGTTTACTAAACGGTCCTGGGCGTTGACTAAACAGCCCTGCCCTGTTCGATTCATTCCTTTGGTGCGTTTACTAAACGCCTTCGCTTGTCGGGGTGATTATTATGGGGCGGATCTTCTGCCCTCTAGACCCGCGACCCACCCGCGACCCAACAACGACCCACCCGCGACCCAGCCGCGACCCACCCGCGACCCATTTGCGATCCACCCGCGACCCGCCCGCGACCTACCCGCATTTGTTTAACGAAAAAAATTGCGCCTGCAGCGAGCTCGTTGTATAATTTGTGAAATCTTGGTGCCTGCGGCGGGCTTCTCCAGAGTTTCGCAAACTGCCGACGTTTCCACCGCCCGCGACCAATCCGCGACCCGCCCGCGACCCGCCCGCGACCCACTTGCGACCCACCCGCGACCCACCCCGCGACCCACCCGCGACCCACCCCGCGACCCACCCGCGACACAACAGCGACCCATTTCCGACCCATTTGCGACCCACCCGCGACCCATTTGCGACCCACCCGCGACCCGCCCGCGACCTGCGCACAGTGGTTTAACGAAAACATCTGCGCCTGCGGCGGGCTCGTTGGATAATGTGCGAATTTTTGGCGCCTGCGGCGGGCTTCGCCAGAGTCTGGCAAACTGCCGACGTCCCAACCGCCCCCTCAATCTTATCCGCATCTGCGGGGTGCGACGTGTGTATACACATATATTTATATACACTTTGAGTTTATTTGTATATATATATATATTGTTTAAAGTTTTTTTAACATATCTATATACATATAAGAATAGGACAAAACACACACAAAAAAAAACGAAAAAACAACAAACAAAAAGGAGGCGAGGGGGTGAAATCGAAGTGGAACGGAGAGCCACCCACCAGGAAATCGATGTCGGTTTCGGATTCGCGCCGTGAGTGCGGGCGTGGCGAAGCTACGTGTACGGGCGAGATGAATGAACCCTCCTCTGGCAAGGGCGCGCCAAGGACAGAAGTCCGCCTCCCCTGGCCGCGTGGCGGGCGGGTGCCGGTGCCAAGGATGTACCGCCGTGGTGTCCCGATGGTGTCCCGACGGGTCCCGTGGTGCCTTGCGGTGTCTCGATTGGTGTCCCGATGGTGTTCTTGTGGTGTGTCGATTGTGTCCCAAGGTGTCCTGCCGTGGTGTCCCTATGGTGTCCCGGTGATGTCCCGTGGTGTCCGGGCAGGTCCCGTGGTGTCCCATGGTGTCCCGCGGTGTCCCGCGGTGTCCCGCGGTGTCCCGAGGGGTCCCGTGATGGTGTCCCGTGATGATGTCCCGTGGTGTCCCGCGGTGTCCCGCAGTGTCCCGCCGTGTACCGATGGTGTCCCGCGGTGTCCCCTGGTGTCCCGTGGTGTTCTGCGGTGTTCCCCGGTCTCCCGCGGTGTACCGTAGTCTGCTGTGGTGTCCCGTGAGATCGACAGTGAGGTCGATAGTGAAATCGATCGTGAGATCGATCGTGACATCGATAGTGAGATCAAAAGTGAGATCGACAGTGAGATCTATAGTGAAATCAAAAGTGGCATTGATAGTGAGATCGATTGTGAGATCGATAGTGAGATCGATAGTAAGATCGACAGTGCGATCGCTAGTGAGGTCGATTGTGAAGTCGATTGTGAGAACGATAGTGAGATCGATCATGAGATCGATAGTGAAGATCGTTAGTGAGGTCGATTGTGAGGTCGATTGTGAGATCGATTGTGAGATCGATAGTGAGAGGGATAGCGAGATCGGTTGTGAGTTCGATAGTGAGATCGATCATGAAATCGATTGAGTGAGAGGTTGGTTCCTCCCCCCCCTACCCCCACCCCCAGAACCTCCTTAGCACCCGAAGGGTGGTCGTAAAGGTACATAAATCTACACCCATACAAAGGACCAACTGCTGGCAAATGTGATGGGTATGATGATGGCGATGCTGGTGACGCGCACTCGAGTTAGCGACGACGCGTGATGGCGATGTTGCGCTGCGATGTAATGTCACGATTGTCCCCGCGTTCGATCTCACTCGATCGACCCCACTATCGACCTCGCGGCCAGTCTTAGTACCAATGGATTCAGCGATCGATCACACTATCGACCCCACTAGCGATCTCGATCTCACGATCGATCTCACAACCAATGTCAAAATCAACCTCACTGTCGATCTCACCGTTGATCTCAATATCCATCATCATCGATCTCACGATCGACTTCACTATGGATACAAAGGCGGGACACCCCCCAGCCACCGCGCTCACCGTCGACGGAACACCGACGGAACACAGACGGGACACCGACGGGACACCACAGGAAACTACGGCGGGACACCCCAGACACACCGCGCGCCCACCGGGGGCGGAGGGGCGGTCCACTGCATCCGAATCGCCCTAGCGACGGCGGGGCCAGTCCTCTCGCGCGCACACGCAGCTTCGCTTCGCCCGCACGAACGACACGAACACGACACCAAAACCGGTTTCCCGGTGGGGGGCTCTCCGTTCTACTGCAATCTCCCCCCCAGCCTCCGACTCACACACAAGCAAGCAAGCAAACAAACAAGTAAACAAACAAATAAGCATACACACATACATTCATACAGGCATAGAAAAAACAGACAGACAGGCAGACAGACAGACAAATAGACACGCATACACACATACATGCATACATACAGACAGACAGACAGACAGACCGACAAACAGACATACACACAGACAGGC